ACGTGAGGTAGCTGTAGAGACTTTGTAAGTGTGCGCGATCTTTGTAGTAGCTTCTGGTAAGAGAGTTCCAAATAACGTCTGACACTTTTTTAACGAGCTCTCGAGTTGCATATTTCGTATCATAAACTGTAAGATCAACTGCACCCTTAATCACTGCATGAAACTTGGTGTAAAGAGCTTCAGCAATGTGAAACTCAACGGCCGGTAATTTCGGTTCGTCATAAACAGTGGTCTCCTGCGACGCAAATGTTCGATTACAGGTTAGGGAATTTTCAACTGCGCCGACGAGAATTGAGAGTAAAGCCAAGTCCGGTTCTGAGCTATTTTGTAATTGATTTTGGAAGATTCGTACAATTGAGGAGATGCTCTGAATAGGAAATAGAGCTTTATCCTCGTCTCGAAAACCCGCCATGTCGCGACTGGCAGGCTGCACACACGAGATCGAGATCTTTGCTCAAACCACGAGTGTCATCCTGTTTCACATTTATCTTGACAGAAACTTTCGACGAAATCGCACGATTTGTTTTGTTTTCTTTTCTTTGACTAACGATGTACGCTAGTCAATGTTGATTTTTTTCTTCTCAATGCGAAACTTTTACATTTCCGCATCACAAAATGAATCACAACCGCGTATCATCCAGCGGCGCGCCGCCACTAGGACCGTTTACAATGATGCTTTCGTTCTACAATTCGACAAAGCAAGAAGGCGAGTTTCTGTGTGAACGATAACGACTGACATGAACATAAACGCGCGCGTTTTATGTTCTAGAATTTTCTAACATATCCATGCAAATATGCATTTATCTTTATATTTATAAGCTCTTCAATATTATTTATCTTTTTTTATACTTCAATACTTATTTTTAAAATTAACATTTAAAAATTTTAAAACTATTAAAATTTATATGTTTTTACGATTTTAAAGATTTCAAAATTTCGACGTAAGAATATTCAAATTTAATAGATGTCATTTAATATATATGTATGTATGTAAAAAAAAAAGAAAAATATTGATACATATATAAATTTATAAATATATTATGATTATATATACAATTAAAGATTAATTTATAACATAAAAATAATCAAAAGACACAAGATGGCGCAATAAGCACAAATATCATCATTCGTTAAGACATTTACATTCTCACGTCATCTTTCATAGGTTAGAAACAGTTTTTCTTCAGTGATTTAAGAAACATCAGTATAAATTTTTTATAGTGTTTATCTTACAATATAAGATTCATCGATTAAGACTATTCATAATAAATCATTCAAGCGTTATAGAAAATGAAAGTTACGATAAAAAGTGAGTACTGAAATTGGAATCTTCAAATATACTTTATCATATATTTTCCTTATCCTTGTATTATTGATAAACAGGAACATAAAATAGACTTATATTTTTATATTTTTTTTATTTTATCTCATTATTTATACTTAATATATATGTTTGAATTACGAATCGTATTATATAAAAGTTAAACATTTGTAAATAATTTTTTAAGGTTGGACTGGTGTTGCCACCTGGCGTTGGATAGCGAATGATGACAATTGTGGTATATGTAGAATGCCTTTTGATGCCAGTTGTCCTGATTGTAAAATTCCAGGAGATGATTGTCCTTTAGGTAAGTTAAATTTTTTTAATTATTCAATATTGAATTCAACATTTGAATGAGATCAATAAAGTGCATACTTTTCAAGCAATCAACAATATCAAAATATAAATAGATATTTATTGCCTAAAAAATGCTAAAAAATAAATGAATAAAATGATCAATTGGTATATTATATTATAATTTATTTTTTACAATAAGTAATGAAATTAGTAAATAAAATTATTGTGAAGAAATAAGAAATAAAAGAAACATGTATAAATAATTCATTCGATAAAGTCACGGAACAATTTGTAAAATGCCGCGACAGCGTTTGCGCAGCTGCAGACTGTAATTATCGATCGGTTTGCCGAATGAAACGGATTGCTCGCACACGACACCCCATGTTCTGACGCGCGCGTACTCGCGCGTGTCAATGTAAACTGAACAAAATCTGGTTGCCGGTTATTAGCGGGAGCATAAGGTGCGCGTGCCTAGTTAACTAACCGAAAAAGTTCATATACCATAAACACGTTCCGATATTGTTCCAGTCTGGGGCCAATGCTCACATTGCTTCCACATACACTGCATCATGAAGTGGTTACATTCCCAACAAACCAGTCATCTCTGTCCGATGTGTCGTCAAGAATGGAAGTTCAAAGAGTAGCTGGTTTGCCGATAGTCCCGCAGGTGTCAGCACGCAACGAATAATCAGGTAATGTGCATTGTGCGTTGCGTATACTGAGAAAATTTTGTTTGAAACAAACGGTTTTATCGATTCCTATTCGACGGAAACGTTAGTAGAATTCGCATTGTTTCTTGGCATTCTACTTGTATTCTTACATATTTTCTTCAACCTTTCTCTGTCTAGTTAAATTTTATGTAATAAAATATGAAAGTGAGATAGAATTGCTTAGAAATAAATTACATCATATACATTTCCCTTGAGAAAATTTGCCCGCACTCATTTCTATGACTTCGCTTTTATTCTGAAAAGCTTGTTTAAAACTACGTCTGACCTCGATCTTTCCGTTTGAATCGAAAGGTATTTTTTGTTTGCATTGCAAATATCGATCGACAAAGTAGTTCGATGAAATCATTGCCAGAAGATTTGAAACGAAAAGTATAACTAAAATATTTTGATGGAATATGTGATGTAGATTGCATTGAACTGTTTGTTGAACAAATAACGGTGCATCTTATTGTAATAAAGAGATTCTCGTGCGCACTTACGTAACAATATTTCATCGCAATGCGATATCATCAAAGAAATTTTTTTCAGTTATATGATATTTGATACTATTTGATTCATAATTTATGATTCGCGCGTCTTTAACGAATTTACTTATGATGAACAATGTTATTTAACTCCATTTAATATTATTCAAGTGAAATTAAGTATATCTTTGCGGGATATTTAGACAATCGAATCGTACAAATTTGATCGATAAATTTATCAATCTATTTTTTCTTTATTGTGCAGCAAGCGCAAATTTATCAATAATTAGCTCCTATGGGATATAATGTTACGATGCAAACACGATGATTTGAGCTCCTACCAAAAGAATTGAGGTGAAAGTAGAACAAGTAGCTTTTGTGTACGTCGGGAAACAGAGTGTGAACGAAATTCAAATATATTCGCGTATATGTTCGCGCAGTCATCGCATGGCGGGTGATTTTTTTAAATATATTTCGAATAAAATTATGACTTAAATCTATAATATTTAAGAATATTGTATCTATTTGTTTATTTCAGCACTTTAGATTAGAAAGGATGGTATTATCATATATCTGTCTACTATTCACTTTAAAATTTGCAATTATTCACTATTGAGAAGTTATTTCATGACAATTCAAAAAGTCTTAATTATTTCTTTTCCATTTATTTTTTCTCCATTTCAATCCATTTATCAATTGCATTTTTTTTTCTTTTCTTTCATTTTTAAAAAAAAAATCTTGCTAAAACATTTAATGTCTTGATTTAAACGAAGAGAAAAGAGAAGAAATATGCATTATATTTTCTTATGATATTTTCAACGATCAGTAACGAAAGAATTATGAAAATTCTACATATATATATGTATATATATTGCTTTTTCTTAATACTGCAGATCCCATTCATCGATTCACTTCGTTGCACTACTTTCTTTCTCTACTTTGCTTCTTTTTTCGATACTCTGCAAAGGTGTATTTATCTCTCGCAATTACTTGTTTCCTCCGCGTTTCCTTCGACCCATTCCGCGCTCTAACTATATATCGTTTTGGCTTACTCATCCTTTTTCCTCGTATCGTTTGCGCTCACGTCTTTTCCTCCGTGTCTCTCTTGCATAGCACGCGTAATTGTACACGTATACACACGCGTCGATCACTCTCGTCCTGCTTTTTACACTCCCTCTTTTACCTCTCTAACCCCTCGAATCCCACTGCCTGATTCCCCTACTCATAATTCCCTTCTCTTTCTATCATATACAAACAGACATATACGAACGACGAGGTCCATTCGTTTGTTCACGAATAACGACAGATTCGAAGTACTTTAAATCTATCTATTATTCCGATCACTTTTGAACGACTTAGATGGCTAAAATTTTTTTCAAAGAAAAAAAATTAATTAGATTTAAACATAATTAATTTCATTATATTCTTTATATAATATAATTCTATCATTTTTTCTTTCTCGTGTAAATTTGTGAAAATCGCGTTGATAAGTTCAAATCTGTCAGTCTTTCCAGCATGTCCTTTTGCCAATATACCAATACACTGGCGCGTACCATCGAACACACGTATATGCGATCGGGAGAGATAGGCACAAAGGTTCAGCGTAGCACGTCCACTGCCTACTCGAGAACTCGGGCTAGAGCTCGAGCTCTCGAGCCCAGTCACGTGGTTCCTCGAACACGAAGGATGTTTGTCGGGATCGCGAAGTCAGTTAGCTGTGGTCCGTTCAGCGGGCAACAGAGAGAGAAACGGATTATAGAACGTGCTATTGCTTGTGGACCATTCGACGAACCATAGAGGGGAAAGAAGGGTTCAGGGGACATAACATAGGAGACGATAACGGATCGAGGATACCACGGACCGAGTTTCTTCAACCGAGTCCTCGCCGGTCTAACGTGTCACCTTCTCCTCGCCTCACCTCGTCTCACCTCACGAAGCCTCACCTAACCTCACTATACCTCACCCCACTTCACCTCAACTCACCTCACCGCACTATACCTCACCTCGCCTCACCTCATCTCACCTAAGCTTACCCTACCTCGCTTCACCTCGTCTCACTTCACCTCACCTCACCTCACCTCTCCTCCTCTCACTTCACCTCGTCCCACCTCGCTACAATTCGCCTCAACTCGCTTCAACACGACTCGCTTCACATCGCGGCAACGTTTCGCGCTTGTTTCGCGTTTAAATAATCGAGCGTCTTTGAAAATGTCGCGCGTTCCACAAATCGAACCAGTGTTATTCCGTGAAACTGTGAATCACGAAAATTCGTATCATCGATGATTAATTGTTAAATTATTTATTGGTGTTTTTTTTTTCGAGAAAACATACAGTTATCGTTATATCGTATACATCGATATAAAAAGAAAGAGGAAGAAAACAAGCAATGGAATAAAATTCGAAGGGGATAAAATTGAAGCGAAAGAGAAACTACGAATAAACATCTATGCTGCATTGGCGCATCTGCCTTCATCGCGTATCGCGTCAATGTTGTTCGCGTGGCGAACATCAACATTCATGGAACGCAAAAACGTGACGCGGATCATTCGATGAGCAATTTAATTGTTTAATTTCAAATTGCAACTTATCGATCGAGAAGAATAACAACTCCTGGTTTAATTGTCTTCGTTAATTATAACCTGTTGAATATATACTTTCAACTTTTAATCACGAATCGTTTATCGTTTATCGTATAGATATGTATCAATCGAGAAACCGGAGATAATCGAGATTATCGTTATCACGAATAACCTCGTTTCCAGGCTTGAGTGTTCGGATATAAATTCGAAATATTCGCGGAACGATGAATATATAGATAGAGAGAAAGAGAGAGATAGAGAAAGAGAGAGAAAGAGAGATCGGTGAATTTGAAGCGATCACGAGCAAAATGCAATTGGCAGCGACGCAGAGGCCTCACCCACCACCAGTGCCGCCACGACCCAGTCGGCAGGTAGTCGCAGAAGCCCTTAAAAGATCACCAAGGCCGCCCTGCCCGACCAGGCAGGCCCCACCACCGCCCAACACCAAACCGTGGAGATCCGATCGAGATCGGGCGAACAATCGGCAACAGGTGTGTCCCGCTCCTGTTGGACGCACGCTTGTTTACGAGTCTTCGATCAAAGAGTCGTCGCTTCCCAAAGAAACCAGCAACGAAAGCGGCGGCGATTGCGATCCGCCGCTCGACAAGAATCGCGAACCCGTTCCTCGAGCCGCGAGTGAAAGGCGCGCGGACGAGGACGACTGGCGTGGAAATCCGCGGGAAAGGCGGCACCGCGTACCCGACCAGGAACATCGGCCAAATTCCACTGAATCGAGCCCCAACACCGACGCTTCTTCCTCGCCTCCTCTGCCGCGAGAGAAAGAGGATCGCTCGAGCCCGTGTCATTCCGCTCTGCTCGAACGCGTGGAGGAACGCTCCTTCAACGGAGCAACCACCACTGATGAGAGATCGCCGGTAAGCGAGAAATCGATAAGCAATATCGATAGAACGACCGGGAACGAGAAGGCGAGAACCGAGTCAGAGTCGATATCTCGCGCGAAGGAATCGACCGATTGCGACAACGATGCCAAAATTACTGGGATCGAGTCGCGCGTATCTCTGGACGAGGTACAGTGTTGTCACGCTTCGCCCGACGTTTCGGAATCGAAGAAAAACGGGGAAAGGGGGGGCCTAAGTTTTTCAGAGAGAAGCCAATGCTCGGAGAGAAGCAAAGCCGATGGCTCGACGCGGCCGACGCCAACCCAGAGATCGTGTCTCGTGAAATATCGAGACGCGACGAGGAAAAGCGCGGAAAGTTCCACCACGACCCAATCTTCGAACGTTTCGAACGTTGACCGTGCCACGGTGGTTGTTATCGACGAATCGGACCGTAAAGCCGCATCCAACGATCATCCTGATCACTGTGACGATCACAATCACCATGTCAACCACAACAACAAGGATGCGGAGAATGACAACGACAATGACAACATTCATCGACAAGATTGGTTGGAAGCCGGTGTTCATTATTCGTCCACGCAGATCAGATTGTCCGGGGAAGATGGCGACGTCATTGATGGAAGTCGAGTCAATGGATTTGATCGTTGTGAAAACGAGAAATTCGGGGACTTTAATGTTCCAAGGTAGTTCGCCGATTAATCATCGATGTAACGTAATTTTAAAGCTGGAAGAAGTTTGGTCGATCGATACTGACGTGTTGATTAATCGTGTTGATATATTTTATTGTAAACAAACTTGATAATTGCTTGTAAAACTATTGCAAGAGTTGATTTGTTCGTATATAATAATCCAGTGATTCGATTCATCAAGAGTTTCTCGTGTTACACATTTTGCTTTAACGATTTAATTGCGTGATAAAACGAGTGGTAAAAAAGGAACGTGCAAAATAGAATAGCAGAGTCTTTACCGTTTTTTTATTCTGCGCGCAATATCAGAGTATCGTCCTGTTTCTAATTTCCTTTACCTGCTAACCTACTTCGTCGCTTCGTTCGTGCGAAACGGTGATGTCGAAACGAATAACCGAATGCATAACAAATCCGTACACAGTCGAAAGAACGTTTCGAAGATCGTTGATAGATTTCGAATTAATAATAGAGTTTCAAGTGATCGTTAAAAGGGATTGATCGATCCTTGATCTTATTCCATTCTCAATTTCGTTGACTGAACGAAACTCTCGCCTTTTTCAGCATACAAGAAAGGATCGCTATGTCTTCCCTGCAAGGTCTACCACCGTTACCAAGGAGTCTTAGTGGGTTTAATTTGAGTGGTGGACGAAGCGAGGGTTGCGAACCACCTCCGCCACCCACTAGATCTTCCAGTAAAACGCAAAGAGGCGGTAAAACCCCGATCCAATCATCGTCCAGGCCATCACCTCCTGCTAGACAGCTTACCACATTGGATACACAACTGGCTATACTGAGGAGAGAAATGGTGATTGTTGAAAATTTTTTGGCATCCTTTCTCTCTCTTTTTCTGTTCGTATTTATTCGTTATCTAGAAAGAATAAAAGAATATGTCGAATATATATATAAATATATATATATTATATAATTGTCTATGGAGGCCATTAGCTTATAAATGTTGTTAGTCATCCGCGTTCTTCTCTATACGTCAACAGGAAAATTCCACGGATTTACAAGTCACGATGCAAGATTTGTATAAATGGCGGAAGGTCAAAGTAATTAGAACGTCATAAGTCGCGTGTTAACGGGGAGTTGATTTCTGATGTAAATCATGATTCGAATATTTTTCAGATATAATTAATCTTTCTATCATCTCATTTATAATGTGAAATTTTATCGTTCTATTTATATGTGTCAAACTCATTCGGTCGATTAGGTCCGTTACCTTGAAATTAAATTGCATGCGAATGCCATCACAAATCGCAACGAATACGTATTTGAAGCGTAGGCTTCTCTTGCGAAACGAATATGGTTGTCATTTTTTCTTTTTCTTTTTTTTCTTATAATGATAGCAAGTTATTTCATCCACGCTATAATTTCTATTTATTTATGATGGCATATATATAATTCAATATTCGATATACGATATAAGATAAATATCGGTCCGAAACGGTTTGTTCGAAAGTTTAGGCTAATAGTTTAATAGTTAATCCAGACACGAAGCGAACTGGCACAGCCGCTCCCACGCTGCATTCCCTCAGGCGTGACTCCCCTCTTCGCCTCCTTTTTCTGGCCGCTCTCTTTCACCTTCGTTCCTTCCTACCTCTACTCTTGTTCTTCCTTCTTTTTCTTTACCTTCTTTCTTGGTACGCTGACACCTCTCATTCCCATTCTCATTTTGCGCCTCTTATCTAATCCCTTCATTCTCACGGTTAGCACCACAAGAATTGCTACTGGTCTTGAAAATACATTTTCTCAGTTTATAAATTTTAAACTCTAATGCTTTTCGTGACATAATCGCGATTTTTCATTGAATTACAAATATTTATCGGCAAACATATTTGTTTATATGTATATATAAATAAACAATCATAAATAAATAAACAGTTATTTTGATCATTCTATAAAAATATCTATAAAAACATAATGAATATTCTTTTACAATTTGATCTTTTTTTTTCAGTTTGGTCTTCGACAATTGGATCTTTCTTTGCTCGCTCAACTTTGGTCGTTAAACGAATCTATTCAAGAATTTCGACAACTTTTACAAGAACAAGAAGACAGAGCACCATCCCCTTCCCCTAGCAGTGAAGAAGGGGATGACACCTCTTATGGAACTCATCCTCCACCACCTCCGAGAAGACCAGCTCCTGGTGTACATTTACACAGACCGCCTAGGCCACCCAGACCGCCTAGGCCACCTCCTAATGACGAATCGCCATCTAGCGAGGAATACGGAGCTGTTTGACGCGTGCAGCTACAAATTATTCGCATTTTAATCCGTCTTTCTCGACTATTTGATTGTAAACTTTTACGCGTTATAGTAGATAAAAAATCTTGTTTAAGGAATTAGTAGAAACTGAATCGGCGATTTGATAGCAACCGATATGGTCGCTTCTATCTGTACAAGTCCTAACGAAGTTATTAGAATACAATCTAATGCATCGTTATAAAAAACTTATTGATGCTCGAAGGTACCTGTAATATTACGGAGACATCGGAAAAATTAACTATTCAAGAACTGTTCTAATTACAATCCATCATTTCATATGTCTCTGCAAAATCATGCATCGCATAAATTTATGGAAGATTAATTATTAGGAAACATATATCATTCGTTGACCCACGAATTTATCAATGTCAATCCAGAAGAACAACGATCCTCTTTCTCTTATTATATATACGTAGATATATTTCTTATTAGGTAAGGAAAAAGTTTATTGTCCTTGATGAGAACTATTTTCGTTCAATATGCTCTTTTTCTCTATTTGTGATAGCAGTCGAAGGGGCCTTTAATTAACTACGATAGACATTCGTTTGCGCTAATCGAGAATTATCCACAATCATTGATTGGAAGACATTACAAAAGATCCGAGCCTACGGGATAATAAAACGGCTAGTGAGATCCAAAGAACCGCATTCGAAAGTTCTTGTTTCTTCCATGTTTCTTCACTATTACGTCCATTACAGAATTTTTTTTCTTGTTAAAATAAAACGCACTGATATGCCAGACGATAAGAATTTTCGAATTACGATACGACGTATAAAGATTTATGTAGATTAATTCGAGTGTGTAAAATAAAGTAAAGAACAAATGATATGGAAAACTCAGTGTATTTTTAATGCATCCTGATGACATCATAGATAAGTTATTTTAATAAAAATTCGGAATTAAGAAAACTATAAAAAAGTATTCAAGTGTTGCAAAAATGATAAAAATATATATAAAATATATATATAAATTTAAATAATAAAAAAAATTAATACTTAAAAATGTCCAAACTTATATAATGTTTCAGCAAAATGAAATTATTAATGATATATATGTAAAAACATTTCAATAATAGGAAAAGAATTGAGGATCAGTACCATCTCTTGAATGTTTTTAAAAAGATGATTTTTTGAAGAAAAGTCAATTATTCTCGATAGATGGTACTGACAATCAATTCTTATTTTATCTCTATCTTTTTCTCGTTATGTGCTATTCTTGTCTATATTTACTATACTTTGTGCATAAAGTTGTGAACGACGTCGCGTGCACGCGATAAAAAGGTTATGTAAACGTTGCTTTGTGTGAAAAATCATTTTAAAACATGGTCAACAATAATTGGAACAATGAAAGAAGTAAAAAGAGAAAAAAGAAACGATCGTGTGCTCAAATGGCAAAAAAATTCGCACGACAAAGGAATCATGGATCTGACGTAGATCATGATACATATCAATATATGGTACGTATTCTGGAATTGATGAAAAGTGATTTTCCTACTGTCGAAGAGAAATTAATATTTGTGAATAATGTATACGAACAAACTATTGGACACGAAATTGAATATGCCCAAAATCAAGTGGGATCCAGAATATTGGATTCACTTTTAAAATACGCGAATTTGGAAACGATTCAAAGGTTAGTTACTACTTTCAATCCTTCTTTACGACTTCTCAGTAATGACAGATTTGCTAGTCACGTTTTACAAAAGATCGTAATGGTTTGCGCTGATAGAGGAAATAAAAAAATAGTTTTAGAATCTAATGCTGAACAAAGTGTAGATGCCAATATAGAGGTTAAGGAATCGGAAGTGGAATGTTACAACAGCATCGTGTTGAAGCTAAGTAAATATTTTATTAATAATATAGAGGAGTTTGTGTACGATACATATGCGAATCATCTTTTGAGGACTGTTATCGAATGCCTTGGTGGTCTAATCGATAAGCCTGAAGCTAATGATAAAAAAAAAGTAATATGTGATGTAAGACGACCAGTCATACAAGAGTATAAAGACTTATTATCCTCAACATGTAACAGATTATACAAATGGCCTTGCTTTTTAGAATTTGGGAAAGATGAACTTACATCTGGATTATTGCAAAGTGCTTTATATTCTTTAAAGGATACATTCCCAAGTATGGTGGAAGAATATGTTAAAAAGATTACAAATGAATGTTTTAAGCTTGGAGAAGATCAACAATTGTCAAATATTTTTAACACAGAAAGTTCAATCAGATTATTAGAGGCTTGCTTATCAGTGGGAAATCCTAAATCTTTTAATGATATTTATGAAAGATATTTTTCAGGCAATTTGAAACAATTGTCATTGACACAAAATACAAACTTCAGCGTACAAAGACTATTTGATCATTGTACGGTAAAGGAAAAATTTGAACAGATATTTGAAGAGATTCACGTGCATTTTTCTGAAATTCTTGAAAAAGGTTTTACAGGAATTTTAGTCAGTGTGGCGAATGCGTGTTTAAGATTGCAAGTCAAGCAGGGTGCATTTGTAACTGAACTTTTAAAAACTCTCCATTGCGAAGCAAACGAGAAACAATATCTTATCGTGGCTTGCGTGGTAAGTTTAAAAACATCCGATCAATTAGAAAATTTAAAAGAAAAAAAGGAAGATGATTCGAAATCTTTGATCAGTTTACACGGAAGTCTAATAGTACAGGCTATACTCAATTTTAATAAACCTATAAAAATGGTTAATTCCTTGTTGGAAACTGACATAGAGGAAGTAGTGCGGTTGTTTGAAGATCCAAAAGGAAGTCGCATCGTGGATGCTTACATGGACAGCAAATATATCGGTGAGAAAAGCAGGGAAAAACTTGGAAAAAAATTGAAAGGATACTGGTCGCGATTGGCTCGCAGTACACATGGCTCCAGATGCTTGGATAGAATATGGCGATCAGCGCATATGAATCAGAAAACTTTGATCATGGAAGAATTAGCAGCAGCCGGAGAATCTTTGCGTTCGACCAAATCTGGACAAATAATGTTGAACAAATTAAACGTTCCATTGTACGCAAGAAACAAGAAGGATTGGATGGAAACGTTAGGAAAAGAAGAGAAAACAAGAGCACTTTTCGCAAATATAATAGGGAATTCGATCAAGAAAGAGAAATAAGTTTTAAATATAAACACGTGTGTAAGAAAAGAAAGATGTCGATGTTCGTTCTTTAAGCATTATGACACAGAATAATCATGTATTTCGTTAATTCATAAATACAATCTAGAATCCATCATACATCCCCGCAACGTAACGTAGCTAGAAAAACATACAACGACTCGTAATCTAAATTTGAGCAAAGTTTTCTAATGCGCGCGACGGATAAATTCATTTTATGATTCTCGACTCGACAGTGACTAGACTTATAAACGTATACATGCGTCCATGCACTGTGACGCGCGTAAAGTAAAACGTTGCAACAGTTTTATCACTCGTTGCGATTATATTAATCTATCAATTGACTAGGAAAAATATCGATATAACATTTCGTATCGATTACGGTGAAGAAAAATTTAAATTGATCGCATTTTGTGCCAAATATTATACGGTTCTAAATGTGAAAAAACAATATTGCAAAATCATGTATGTAAAATTGTTCCAACTTATTTAGATAACAAATATTTTGTTTATGCGTGCAAGATTTTTTTTATGCTACATGTTCGTAGAGACTTAGAGAATGTATAACATGTATTAAGTTTATTTATCACTGTTTATTGTTTGGGCGACGTGAATGGATTCATATTTTTAATTCATACTTTCGTTGTATCGAAAGATAACGAAACTTCATATTTTCATTGCTAGACAAGAATTTCGTTTATTTGAACAATCTATCATCCGAGATATATACATGTTATATAATTTATCTCTACTTTGTCGCTTCGATCAAATAGCAATGTACAACGAACCGTTACACGTACTATTCTAAAGAAGGAATTCGACAAACTGTATTACAACTACAATCGTAAAAGGGAAAAATTTCATTTCACGCGTAATGTACTGTTCCCGCAACTTTGTATTTGTATATCGCGATACGCAAGGGATCGGTTAACTCTTCGACAAAATGTATCGTAATATACCTTGGATGAATAACAGGATATTTAAACTATTATAACTGTACAACTGAATGGTTGTGTGGTTTGCCGAGAGTGCGAAAGCATAGGAAGAAAGTGGAGAAAGAAAAGCAGAAGATGTATGATTCTCAGAAGAAAGGATGTGCATGTGTGCGTACGTGTGTGTGTGACGTGTACTGTAAAGTCAGCGCGAATCGTATTGGACCGGTCTAGCGAATCGTCTGAGTCGATAGTAATTCCCGTCGTAACGTCACTTCCCCTTGGTCGTACCACTGGCCGGTATAGGCGCGACGATATTTGCCTCGTTTACGCTCGACTGAGCTGCGCTTGCGATTCTGGGAGGGCTTCGAGACGCTGATCTTCGAGGTTCACGAGGCGGAGGATTGTTGCAGGTCGCGTGATGGCCTCCTGCCTCCCAGTCCCGGTGTTGGCAGAAGGAGCCGCAATACCGTGCGATTCCACAACCACCGCACGTTTCCAAGGCTGGTCTACCGCAGTTCCAACAACTCTGAAAGTGTTCGGATTGGTGGTGAGCAAGGTATGGAATATAGAGCATGAGGAAGAAATGGCATTGGCGCGTCGATACGTGGCAAGTATTGTTTACTGTTGAAATGAAATCTCGCGAAAGAAATGTGGTTAATTTGGAAGGAAACGCCTATTTTCATATGCATTTTTGTTTTTATCATGGTATTTGTCACGTATACTAATCCAAAATTACATCTGTAAATCTTTATGCATTAGCGTAGGCAAATGTGTAGGTTAATTATAATTTAACATAGGTTAATTTATAAATGTAATTTTGTATTCAAATAGTAAAAATAATAATTATATGTGTACGAATAAGCTAAATTCAGTTTTAAATGATTATTTTAACGTAACTTTATAAATGAGAATAATTTTTACGATTTTGAATGTTCAAATTATAGCTTTTCTACTACTATGTAGAGTGTGATGTCAGGATTGTCAACAAAGCGTTCGAAGTGGGGATAAGCGAAGGACCCCTCTTGCCTCTGTCCCGTCCCGCGAGACTTTTTTCCAAACAGTAAACCAGTATATTACTCACGGATCCCGAGACGGTCTGCAATTGCGCGTCCTTTTCGTCCTCGCCGATCGACGTGATAGAATTGGAAACAGTGTTGGTTGGTGTAGCAGTGACTGTTCTGGCATTCGTATCGACTGGATTACCGTGAACTCGAAGATACGGTCCTTGACGGAGAGGTCCATGGTTTCTCTGAGACAGTGGAACGTCGAGCATTCGATGCACTCGTAATCGTTCGCTCGCCCTCGATTCGGCTACCGCGACTCTCACGGCTCGTTGCACTTCGGCCATCACGGCCCTCTTCACGGCTTCTTCTATAAGAGAAGGAAATGTAAAGGCGCGCGCGCGCGCGTATTTCGTAATAAATTCACGATACGAACCATCTTTTCTCTTCACTTCCGCCACTTTATCCTCGATCGCCCTGATGGTCTGGGCGACGATCTCTCCGGATAATCGTTTCAAGCTACCTTCGCGGTCACCGGTCGAGGATTCCACTTGAGAGCCGTTGGTCGAGGATGGATTGTTGTTGGCCGCGCTGCCGGTGCCACCGTTTTGAGCCGGCACGGTGCTCGTGGCTGACAAGGAAGGGCCCGCCGAGGCCGTGGCCCCGAAACAGCCACGTGTCTGCAGAATGGCCAAAGCTTTCTTCGTCTTTTCCACCATTCCGAGGATACAGTTCAACATCATGTGTATGTTCTTCCACTCGTCGTCCA